CCCCAAAACCCCAAAACCCCAAAACCCCAAAACCCCAAAACCCCAAAACCCCAAAACCCCATTCTTGGAAGGAATTATATAATTTAAATTACTTATTCGTAAGATATCTGCCATGAAGAGTCTCTTACTGACACTCCTGTTGCTAAGTGTGTGACTATGCAAACTCTCTGTTTACTCTCCGAAGAGCCTGAAGTCTGAAGTTGGGGACAAGAAGGTAAGCATTCTTAAAGAGATCCATTATCTTCAACTTTATAGGGAGTCATTCCAATGTCGATCGCTAATTTCGGACTTGTGCCATACGGTCATACCATTATGGCTCATATGAAGTTTATTGACGATAATGACGAAGGCTGCAAATCTTTCGAGACAACTCTGAAAACAGATACTGAGCAAAGCCCGGTAGTACTTGTAAGAAGAGGAGGATGCTCCTTCGTAACCAAAGTCAGAAATGTAGAACATGGCGGAGGCAAATTGGCAGTCATCGTTGACGAAGTCGACGGTGAATATCCCGACCAGATCATCATGGTGGACGATGGTACTGGAAACGGCATCCAGATCCCATCTGTTTTGATCGGAAAGACTGATGGGGAAACTTTGATTACTAAATATAAAGAACTTTCTGCAGAGAATAAGGAAATTCAGTTGATCGCCACTTTTGACATCAATAGGCCCGACGATAGAGTTGAGTATGAGTTCTGGTTCACTGCCTCCAATGACAGAGGACTTGACTTTATCAGAGACTTTAGGACTTATCACGAAAGGCTTGGAAAGAAGTTACTTATGATTCCAAGATATTTCTCATGGCCTTGTGTTAACTGTGATAAAGTGATTACTGATGAAGATTGTTTCTGTGAAGGAAATTATTGTGCATTAGATGAATCTAATCTCAGAATTGAAGGTAGAACCATTCTTTTAGAAGATTTGAGGCAGAAATGTATATATCAAAACTCTTTAACAGCAAACAAGAATGATACTGCATGGTGGGATTATGTAATCAAGGCTCATTCAAGATGATACAGTGATTTTTCAGAAAGTTGTTCTAAACAAATCCATACCGAGCTCGGAATCAGCTATGACGATACTATGAAATGTGTTAATGCCTCTTTCACAAACGAGGATCACAGCCTCGGTGACAACACTGTCTTATCACAAGAAGTCAAAGCATGGAACAACCACGGCGCCCACTACATCCCTTCAGTCATCATCAACCAAGTGGCTTACAGAGGCGCCCTCGACCCAGAGAACGTGTACAGTGCAATCTGCAATGGATACAAAGATCCGCAAGAAGAGTGCAAGGCCTACATCGACGACACGTTCAAGAATGCAGACAAAGTCACTTTCAACTGGTTCATCTTGGTGATTGTGTTCTTGATCATCTTGAATGTGGCTCTGCTTTTGATCTGCAAGAGAATCAACCAGAGGTCGATGAAGCAGGAAGTCACTGATGCTGTTAATGATTACATGAAGCTCAGACAGACCAACCAAGAAATGTCGGACAAATAATGTAAGCCACAACATCTAATATTGTCTAGAAACACTTCTAAGAATCAACTGTAGAAGATTTGACAACGATTTACCAAAATTTTGATCAAATTAGCAAAATCAATTTTGGATTCTGTGTAAGGGGTTTTGGGGTTTTGGGGTTTTGGGGTTTTGGGGTTTTGGGG